CGCTGTTCAAATAAAGTAACATTGTTATACAAGTAACAAATTGCTCTAGTAACTTGTTTTTGAAAACAGCAAACAGCTTCTAAACAGTTTCCTCAGGTTAATGCCATATCGTGTTTTTTTTGGACTATGGATAAAGTCTTTACTCCAGTTAGATGACGACTGATAGTTAACTGCCAAGCTTTGTTTAAATTTAAACCATGTAGTTTGACTCTGGTCAAGGTATTACCTTCAGGAATGAAACAGAGAAAAGCTGTCACTTATTTATTGTGTTTGAACAAGGAACAATATGTGTACATGTTCTCTGTCTGCAATGAACAGGACTCTGTAGATTAATAAATGTAGCTTCAGGTATGTGCCAGATTGCAAAGCTGATTAACAATCTTACATCGATTGCTAGCACAATTCTTAGAGCATTCGTTGTTTAGCAAATGTTGTCCAATCATGGAATGGCACCCAATACTGGATACTTTTGTTTTGAGATTTGTAAACACAGACTCATTAGGTACAGTCTGTGCACATTTTCTGGACAGTAATGAGTGTGTCGTTGCAGAAATTTTTGTTTCAAAGTTTGTTTTTTTTTCTCTAATCAGGTCCACTAACCTCTTTGAAAGTCCTGTCCCAAAGATCATTACAGTAGCCAACATAGCTCTTCAAATCCTCTTCATCCTGCTCTGTTACTGTACTGACTGGCACAACACCAGATGGGACATTTAATACGTTGAAAATAATGTTGCACGAGGATGAAGCTGTACAGAAAAGAAAATACAACAGCTTTATCAATGTTTTTAATTATCTTCAAGTGAATGTTACAAGGTGTCAGGAACGGTTAAAGTTAGAAGATGGCAATGTCAAGGTGATGTCTATGAATGACTTGGGGAGTTACATGGAAGGAGAGATTATGGGAGTTTAACAGGACAGTGAACCCAACAGAGAGAGCTTGAGAGGGAGGCTACATTTGCCTGGGATGCAAAATGTGTTTGGTTCAGAGGCTAAGGGGGAGAAACAGTGAAAATATCTTAGTGAAAACAATTTTTAAATCATGTTGACAATGCAATGCTGTGGCTGTCACACAGCCTTCATAATGGAAGAAAGTTTTGCCTTTAAAGAAGTCCTGCTCAAACAACATGCCAGAGCTGGAAATGATACAGTTCAGCCCAAGGCAGTGGCACAGACAGAACAGCATTACTGACAACGGAGAGAAGTATGTGGTGATGGTGAGATTATAGAGAACCTAAAAATATTCTGAAGCATCATCACAACTTTGGAAGAGGTACTGCAGTTTATATAGTTCTGTAATCTAGTGAAATATACTTTGTTTTTCGTGCCTCCAATAATGCTACATCTTAGTAAATCTGATTCACAGTTTATATGTAATAATGGTCTGTAAGTGTCAATTATGCATTTGTCAGCAAACTTCAAACACTTGGGGAATTTTGTACTTTGTTGATTAAGGTCATCAGCAACATAATGGCTTCATTGTTAATCTCAAAATACTACCTTACTGATTCCTGTGCCTTTGAGCTCATAAGGAATGCCAGTTTACCCAGTGAATTTGTGCATATTATTATCAGAACTCTGTCAGCTTTTAACATCCATTTCAATCCCAGAAACTAATCTAACATTCATGTCCCAGTGATTTAGGCAAATGTTATAGATCCCACTGAAATAATCAAAGAAAATGAACAAATTCTCCAAGTTCCTCAGATAATGATACTTCTCTCAAACAACACTTCCAACGATAGATAAACTAGTCTCTCATCTGATTATTGCTATACGACATTGCTTTGTAATGACTGATAGCTGCTTTATTTGTCTAAATAACAGTGATTGCACTTTGAAAAATAAATTCAAAGCACTGAAATATAACTTTTAGGTAGCCCTATATAAATCACTATGTCAAGATCAATGCAGTTCTTTTATTTCACTAAGAGTCTCCCAACCACTTTTGCAAAGTGAGTCACATTTTGGGCACATGCTGAATATTATATAAACTAACAAAAACAAAAAATAAAGTCAAATGAGAATTACGTCAGAGTCCATATACATGACTCAGCTGGAAATTTAAACTTTGCTTTCCATACAGAATTCCACACATTGCTGCTCAGCATGCATGTGTAAAACCATGTTCTCTCCAGGCAGTTCAATGTTACATGATGTTAAGAGTGCACCTGCTCCAAAGTGGAATGGAAAGAAGAGATAGTAGGAACTGCAGATGCTGGAGAATCTGAGACAACAAGGTGCAGAGCTGGATGAACACAGCAGGCCAAGCGGCCTTTCAGTTGTTTCAGCGGCGGGAGTCCGGGAGGAAGCGCGAGGGCAGCCTGGGAAGGTGAGCTTTTCGATTATAAAAGTCTTACCTCGCGTGACTCCATTTTTGGAGTAAGTGAGGTAATATATTTGGGCGGTTGCTTTACCCGAAACACGACCTAGATAGTGTCTCCCACCCATCCTCCTCCTCTAACCAAAAAAAAAAGGTTCTGAGCACTGATTTGGTAAGGCTACTAGTATTTTTTTTTTAAATTTGTCTGTTTGGGAATTCAGAACAGTGGGAATGGCTGTTAGGGCAGTTGTATGCTCCTCCTGTAGAATGTGGGAGGTAAGGGTCACCACTAGTGTCCCCAGTGACTTCATCTGCAGGAAGTGCACCCAACTCCAGCTCCTCGAAAACCGTGTTAGGGAACTGGAGCTGGAGCTGGATGAACTTCGGATCATTCGGGAGGCTGAGGGGGTAATTGAGAGGAGTTACGGGGAGGTAGTCACACCTCAGGTACAGGAAAAAAGTAGATGGGTTACAGTCAGGGGACAGAAAGGGAACAGGCAGACAGTGCAGGGATCCCCTGCAGCCATTGCCCTCAAAAACAAGTATACCGTTTTGGATACTGTTGGGGGGGACGACTTACCAGGGGTAAGCCATGGGGTACAGGTCTCTGGCACAGAGTCTGTCCCTGTTGCTCAGAAGGGAAGGGGGGAGAGGAGGAGAGCATTAGTCATTGGGGACTCCATAGTTAGGGGGACAGATAGGAGATTCTGTGGGAACGAAAGAGACTCGCGGTTGGTGTGTTGGCTCCCAGGTGCCAGGGTCCGTGATGTCTCGGATCGTGTTTTCGGGATCCTTAAGGGGGAGGAGGAGCAGCCCCAAGTCCACATAGGCACCAACGACATAGGTAGGAAAAGGGATGGGGACATAAGGCAGAAATTCAAGGAGCTAGGGTGGAAGCTTAGAGCTAGAACAAACAGAGTTGTTATCTCTGGTTTGTTACCCGTGCCACGTGCTAGCGAGGCGAGGAATAGGGAGAGAGAGCAGTTGAACACGTGGCTACAGGGATGGTGCAGGAGGGAGGGATTCAGATACCTGGATAATTGGGGCTCATTCTGGGGTAGGTGGGACCTCTACAAATGGGATGGTCTACACCTGAACCAGAGGGGTACCAATATCCTGGGGGGGAAATTTGCTAATGCTCTTCGGGAGGGTTTAAACTAATTCAACAGCGGGGTGGGAACCTGAATTGTAGCTCCAGTGTACAGGAGGTTGAGAGTAGTGAGGTCATAAATAAGGTTTCAAGGTCGCAGGAGTGTACCGGCAGGCAGGAAGGTGGTTTGAAGTGAGTCTTCTTCAATGCCAGGAGCATCCGGAATAAGGTGGGTGAACTTGCAGCATGGGTTGGTACCTGGGACTTCGATGTTGTGGCCATTTCGGAGACATGGATAGAGCAGGGACAGGAATGGTTGTTGCAGGTTCCGGGGTTTAGATGTTTCAGTAAGATCAGGGAAGGTGATAAAAGAGGGGGAGGTGTGGCATTGTTAGTCAAGGACAGTATTACGGGGGCAGAAAGGACATTTGATGACAACTCGTCTACTGAGGTAGTACGGGCTGAGGTTAGAACCAGGAAAGGAGAGGTCACCCTGTTGGGAGTTTTCTATAGGCCTCCGAAAAGTTCCAGAGATGTAGAGGAAAAGATTGCAAAGATGATTCTGGATAGGAGCGAAAGTAACAGGGTAGTTGTTATGGGGGACTTTAACTTTCCAAATATTGACTGGAAACGCTATAGTTCGAGTACTTCAGATGGGTCAGTTTTTGTCCAATGTGTGCAGGAGGGTTTCCTGACACAGTATGAGGCGAGGCCACATTGGATTTGGTACTGGGTAATGAACCAGGCCAGGTGTTAGATTTGGAGGTAGGTGAGCACTTTGGTGATAGTGACCACAATTCGGTTACGTTTACTTTAGCGATGGAAAGGGATCGGTATATACCGCAGGGCAAGAGTTATAGCTGGGGGAAAGGCAATTATGAGGCGATGAGGCAAGATTTAGGACGCATAGGATGGAGAAGGAAACTGCAGGGGCTGGGCACAATTGAAATGTGGAGCTTGTTCAAGGAACAGCTACTGCGTGTCCTTGAGAAGTATGTACCTGTCAGGCAGGGAGGAAGTGGTCGAGCGAGGGAACCGTGGTTTACTAAAGAAGTTGAATCTCTTGTCAAGAGGAAGAAGGAGGCTTATGTAGAGATGAGGCGTGAAGGCTCAGTTAGGGCGCTTGAGAGTTACAAGTTAGCCAGGAAGGACCTAAAGAGAGAGCTAAGAAGAGCCAGGAGGGGACATGAGAAGTCTTTAGCAGGTAGGATCAAGGAAAACCCTAAAGCTTTCTATAGGTATGTCAGGAATAAAAGAATGACTAGAGTAAGATTGGGCCTGGTCAAGGACAGTAGTGGGAAGTTGTGCGTGGAGTCCGAAGAGATAGGAGAGGTGCTAAATGAATATTTTTCCTCAGTATTCACACAGGAAAAAGACAATGTAGTCGAGGAGAATACTGAGATACAGTCTATTAGACTAGAGGGGATTGAGGTTCATAAGGAGGAGGTGTTAGCAATTCTGGAAGGTGTGAAAATAGATAAGTCCCCTGGGCCGGATGGGATTTATCCTAGGATTCTCTGGGAAGCTAGAGAGGAGATTGCAGAGTCTTTGGCTTTGATCTTTATGTCGTCATTGTCTTCAGGAATAGTGCCAGAAGACTGGAGACTAGCAAATGTTGTCCCCTTGTTCAAGAAGGGGAGTAGAGACAACCCTGGTAATTATAGACCAGTGAGCCTTACTTCAGTTGTGGGTAAAGTGTTGGAAAGGATTATAAGAGATAGGATTTATAATCATCTAGAAAGGAATAATTTGATTAGGGATAGTCAACACGGTTTTGCGAAGGGTAGGTCGTGCCTCACAAACCTTATTGAGTTCTTCGAGAAGGTGACCAAACAGGTGGATGAGGGTAAAGCGGTTGATGTGGTGTATTTGGATTTCAGTAAAGCGTTTGATAAGGTTCCCCATGGTAGGCTATTGCAGAAAATACGGAGGCATGGGATTGAGGGTGATTTAACGGTTTGGATCAGAAATTGGCTAACTGTAAGAAGACAGAAGGTGGTGGTTGATGGGAAATGTTCATCCTGGAGTTCAGTTACTAGTGGTGTACCTCAAGGATCTGTTTTGGGGCCACTGCTGTTTGTCATTTTTATAAATGACCTGGATGAGGGCGTAGAAGGATGGGTTAGTAAATTTGTGGATGACAGCAAAGTTGGTGGAGTTGTTGATAGCGCGGAAGGATGTTGCAGGTTACAGAGGGACATAGATAAGCTGCAGAGATGGGCTGAGAGGTGGCAAATGGAGTTTAATGCGGAAAAGTGTGAGGTGATTCACTTTGGAAGGAGTAACAGGAATACAGAGTACTGGGCTAATGGTAAGATTCTTGGTAGTGTGGATGAGCAGAGAGATCTCGGTGTCCATGTGCATAGATCACTGAAAGTTGCCACCCAGGTTGATAGCGTTGTTAAGAAGGCGTACAGTATGTTAGGTTTTATTGGTAGAGGGATTGAGTTTCGGAGCCATGAGGTCATGTTGCAGCTGTACAAAACTCTGGTGCGGCCGCACTTGGAGTATTGCGTACAGTTCTGGTCACCGCATTATAGGAAGGATGTGGAAGCATTGGAAAGGATGCAGAGGAGATTTACCAGGATGTTGCCTGGTATGGAGGGAAGGTCTTATGAGGAAAGGCTGAGGGTCTTTAGGCTGTTTTCGTTAGAGAGAAGAAGGTTAAGAGGTGACTTGATAGAGACATACAAGATGATCAGAGGATTAGATAGGGTGGACAGTGGGAGCCTTTTTCCTCAGATGGTGATGGCTAGCACAAGGGGACATAGCTTTAAATTGAGGGGTGATAGATATAGGACAGATGTCAGAGGTAGGTTCTTTACTCAGAGAGTAGTAAGGGCGTGGAATGCCCTGCCTGCAAAAATAGTAGACTCGCCCACTTTAAGGGCATTTAAATGGTCATTGGATAAACATATGGATGATAATGGAATAGTTTAGGTTAGATGGGCTTCAGATTGGTTTCACAGATCGGCGCAACATCGAGGGCCGAAGGGCCTGTACTGCGCTGTAATGTTCTATGTTCTATGTTCTAAGCAGCATCATAGGAGCAGGAAGGCTGACATTTCGGGCCTAGACCCTTCATCAGAAGGGAATGGAATGGAAGGAAGTTTACTTCAATAAGTACACAGAAGGACCAATAGACTTCAAAGGCCTTTGTTTGAGTTATACTCCTTACTGGACCTCCAAATGATGGTGGCTGTATTTGTGAACATGCGAGTTTGACTTTAGAGCAAATTAGTTACCTTTGCCATAGTCATTTAGCAATTAGATTTCACCTACATACATCACCAGGCTCCTCAAGTCAGTTCTGCCATTTGTTAATATCACAGCTGTTTCAATTGTGGGCTCAAGTCTACTTTCCCATCTGCACCCTTCGACTTCATTTATCAATGAAGAACCTATCTAACTCAGCCTTAGAAATATTCAATGACACTGCCTCCACTGCTCTTTGGAAAAAAGAATTCTACAGACTAACACCCGAGAGGAAAAATTACACCTCATCAGCATCTTAAATGACAGACCCCTGATTTTTAAACTGTATTTTCTAGTACTAGTCTCTGTCATAGGAGAAGCATCTATCCTGTCAAAGTGCCTTCAGGATCTTAAATATTTAAAGAAGATCACTTCTTATTCTTCTGAACAGCAATGGATACAGGCCCAAACTATCCAACATTTTCTCATAAGCTAAGTCCTTTATTTCAAGTATCAGTTGAGTGAACTTTCTCTGAATTGCTTTTAATGCAATTTCCTAGAGACCAAACCTGTACACAGTCTTCCAGATGTAGTCTCACCACAATACAGTACAGCTGTAGCAAATAAGTTAATTTCATATTCCATTCTCCTTGCAATAAATAACCAACATTCCATATGCCTTCCTAAGCACTTGCTGTATCTGCAAGCCTAACTTTGTAATTCATGCAACAATATATCCAGATAATCTCCTTACTAAAGATGTCTACAATCTCACTCTATTTAAATAATTTACTGCCAAAGTGGAACAGGTTCACGTTTTCCCACATTTTATTTCATCTGCCAATTCTTTTTTACCCACTCACTTAATCCATCAGACTCATCGCGTCTTCTTCACAACTTACTCCCTTCACTATCTTTGTGCTTTTTTTTATTCATTAATGGGAAGAGGGCGTCGCTGGCTAGGCAGCATTTATTGCCCATCCCTAGTTGCCCAGAAGGCAGTTCAGGGTCAACCACACTGCTGTGGATCTGGAGTCACATGTAGGCCAGACCGGGTAAGGATGGCAGTTTCCTTCCCTAAAGGACATTAGTGGGTTTTTCCTGACAATTGACAATGGATTCGTGGTCATCGTTAGACTGTTAATTCCAGATATTTATTGAATTCATATTTCACCATCTACCATGGCGGGATTCGAACCCAGGTCCCTAGAACATTACCGGGGTTTCTGGATTAACAGTCCAGCGATAATACCACTAGGCCATTGCCTCCCCATTATCTGTAAATTTAGTAACAATACATTTGGTCCCTTCATCCAAATCATCGATATAGATTGTAATATAGTTGAGACTCCAGCGGCACTGATGGAATGGCAATACATTTCCAATTCTGGATGGTGAATGGCTTGGAGGGGAACTTGCGTGTAGCGGTATTCCCGTATATCGATTGCCATAGAGCCATGCAGTTACACAGCATGGAAACAGATCCTTCAGTCCAATTCGTGTATGCTAACCAGATACCCTAAATTAATCTAGTCCAGCATTTGGCCCATATCCTTCTAAACCCTTCCTATTCATATACACATCCAGATGCCTTTTAAATGTTGTAATTGTACCAGCTTCCATCACTTCCTTTGGCAGTTCATTCTATACACACACATCCTCAGCGTGAAAAAGTTGCCCCTTGGGGGTCCTTTTAAAATCTTCCCCTCGCACCTTAAACCTATGCCCTCTAGTTTGGACTCCCCTACCCTGGGAAAAAGACCTTGGCCATTCACCTTATGCATGCCCCTCATGATTTCATAATCCTCTATAAGGTTCAGCCTCCAACGTTCCAGGGAAAATAGCCCCAGCCTATTCAGCCTCTCCCTGTAACTCAAACTCTCCAACCCCAGCAACATCCTTATAAATCTTTTCTGCATCCTTTCAAGTTTAACAACATCCTTCCTATAGACCAGAACTGAACACAGTATTCCAAAAGTGGCCTAACCAATGTCCTGTACAGCTGCAACATGAAATCCCAACTCCTATACTCGGTGCACTAACCAATAAAGGCAAGCGTACCAAACGCCTTCTTCACTATCCTGTCTACCTGTGACTCCACCTTCAAAGAACTATGAACCTGTACTCCAAGGTCTCTTTGTTCAGCAACACTCCCCAGAATCCTACCATTAAGTGTATAAGTCTTCCCCTCTTTTGCCCTACCTAAATGCAACACCTCACATTTATCTAAATTAAACTCCATCTGCCACTCCTCGGACAACTGGCCCATCTGATCAAGGTCCCTTTGTACTCCGAGATAACTTTCTTCACTGCCCACTACACCTCCAGTTTTGGTGTCATCTGCAAACCTACTACCCGTTCCTCCAATATTCACATCCAAATCATTTATATAAATGACAAAAACCTGGACCCAGCACTGATCTTTGCGGAACACTGCTGGTCACAGGCCTCCAGTCCAAAAAACAACCGCCCTAACACCACTCTCTGTCTCTTTGTCCTTATTGAAATTTCCCACAATAACGTATTATTCTGATAAAAAAGTTATTACCTACCTATTACTTTTCCAACATATCCAACAGTGAGGGCTGGACCAAACTCTGGACAAAGTAAGACATCAAGTTTTGCACTTTTCCAATTGTCAATATACTCATCACAGTAAGCCTAGACAAAATGCAAAAGAAAAACCTTAAAAGCTTCTTTGGTGATGACAGTTTATTTTCTAAAATGTTTTCTGCTACAGCATGCAGACAATCTTACAGATGGAACCTTGTTTTAATCCAAGTCTTACCTGCTAAAGGGGAACGTGGGCAGTTAAAGTTATAAAAATTTACTTACTGGCCCTCTTCAGTTATCAATGGAGTAGAGTCAGGCCACATATGCACCAGCCAGAAAGTCCTGTGAATTGCTTCAGCCGAGAGTCCAACTATAGCACCTCAAACCCTGATGCTAATTTAAGTCCTGCTCAAACGTTCTAAGTGAAACGGAGTGACATATGCTTCACAAATGGCTAGACACTGGATTTAAATGAGCAGCTGCAAGAAACACCAATAATAAAATGCCTGCATTTCCAAGCCCATTTTCAACTTGCTCCCTTCTAATTTTCATCCCCTTAACTATCATGACTAAGCACTCACTGGTTATCATGTACAGATAAACAGGAGCAATAACAAAGAACAAAGCAAGCAGCAACTGAGGTGGGAGTGGTGGGGCACAGTGGTTGAGATTTCCTTGTCAAAGATCTTACCCATTCCACTGGCTTTATAGGGGTCAATGCTTACTCTTATTTTTGCATGATACAGGGGTCCCCCAATTTACAAAAGCAACTTACGAATGCTCGTACTTATGAGCACTATCTTGTACAGGGGTGTAATTTTAAAGACCTGATATACGAACATTTCCTGTACTTATGAACAGCCCCCTTATGTTGTCCTGCAACAAGTCAAACCACATTAATTTGCTAACGGCATACAGAACCCATTCGCAACCGAAGGATTGCTTGTAGTTTGCGCTCAGAATCCAGGTCACGTTGTGGTTAAATCTGACACTCCACTGCCTTCAAAACCAACAGTGAAGTAGCCAGAACTGATCACAGTTCTCCACGTGAGGCTTAAACAGGGCTTTGTAAAGATAAAGTAGGTCTTCTTCCTCCTTGCATTCCATTCCACTAGATACAAAGACAGTATTCCATTAGCCTTTTGGATTACTGGCTGTACCTCTTCATGACATTTTACTGATCATATACCTGGACCTCAAATTTCTACACACCAGTTATTCTAGCTTTTCACTGCTTGGAGATTGTTCTCTTCAATTCTGCATTCTAGAAAGTTGGCCTGTCCTTGAACATTGCCAAAACAAAACTCAACAACCACAGACTTGGTCAGCCAAATATTCCACTTCCTATTTATTTGAAGGAGAAACTGTGATACATGTTGAGTGGGTTGGTTCTGTTACAGACCAAGGTAATGCTTTGGGGTCACAGTTTGTAAAAAACCCAGAATTAAAAGTCTAATGATGATTATGAAACCATTATCGATTGTCGTAAAATCCACCCGGTTCTCTAATGTCCATTAGAAAAGGAAAACTGCCATCTTTATCTGGTCTGGCCTACATGCAATTTCAGATTCACAGCAAAGTGGGTGATTCTGAACTGCCCTTTGAAATGGTCCAGCAAACCATTCAGTTGTATCAAATGCTAAAAAGTCTCCAGAAAGAAAGAGGAATGAAATTGAATGGACCACCTTGGAAGCACAGTTGCATTGATATATAAATCATGAGTGTTACAAAGTAAGAGGCCATTCAATCCATCGTTCCTGCAGCAGCTCAATAAATGAGGATCATTACCTAATGCCAAATCTCCTGTCCCACTTCCAGTCCAACTTACACCCTCAACTTGCCCGCAGGCTGATGCAGGTTTTCACCCCAACCTGAGACTGAGTCTCAGTGTCTCCCACTCCAACCTTGCTATGGGTTTCAGCCCACCTGCAAACTTCTCATCTTATTCAGCTTCTTACCGTTGGGAGAGACACAGTCTGTCATTGGAGGAACTGGAGGAATCAGTGTGGAAGAGATGGAGTGTGTAATTGGAGGAGCAGCTCTGTCTTTTCTGCTTCTCTCCAACAACTGCTCTGGTGTCAACTTCCGTTCTCAGCGACAGTCAACGGTTTTATTTTAGAAGGACCTGATATTTACTGACAGCAGGGGAAGATCTGACAGTTCCAATTATTTTTAAAACCTGCTGGTAAGCTATGATGCTCCCTCAAGTTCAGAATCAGCAGTTTCTATTTGCTGCAAAAGTCGGGAAATCTGACAGTTTTGATTTGTTTTTTAAAGCCAGTGTTTTGGATCTGAAGGTTGGAAAGGAAGATGTCAGCGGCTGATTTCTGAAACCCGGGTTTCCAAAATTTTTCCGGATTCTCATGAAAATAATGCAGTTTTCTTGAGGTGCAATCGAGTTTTGCTGCTCTAAGCGACCAGCTTATTGGCCTAAGCAGCTGCCCCAACATGCCAATCATTCAAAATAGTGATAACCTGCCCAGCAAATGCATTAAGCTTTGAGGCACAGTGCGTTAATAATCAGGCAAAGTAGTAGCACAGTAAGAAAGAAATGGAAGCAAATCCTAAATTCAGATCTCACTACCTCATGGGTCTTCCTGCTCTGCGTGTCTGAAGATCTGTGGGCTGAGAAATTAGCCTCTTCAGGCTCAAAGTGATCAAAGCTAACAATGCTATACAAGACTCTATATAAATGTCATCCCCTTTTAAAGACAAATGAAAATACTTTCCAAGTTGAAGTTGCAATCCAATTTTTCAGTTTATCCCTTACATTCTATATGTATCTGTAAATACATCTTTTTGCCTCTCACTACTTGCTCATTCTAAAGCACTATTTTTCACTACCACTCAATTTCCCTTCCTTTAATTCATTTGAGCTATTATGAGAGCTACCTTTCTCACCTGACCCCTCCCTAATTTGTGTTTGAATTCCTTGTGACACTAAAACCCTTAACTATAAGGGTTAACTATAAGCATTCAACCTTGCCATTAAAATCTGGTCCCAGGTTAGTTCAAGTTCATCAACACCTAGGGAGTCACTATTGACTAGAAACTTAAATTGGACTTAATCTTAACCCTTCCAGGAATCACCAGCTATCAAAGACTCTGCCTCCCCTGCACTAGATAACTAGTACCCAAGAAGAAAGCAATAAGAAAATATTTGATAACACAATGTGGAGCTGGAGGAACACAGCAGGCCAGGCAGCATCACAGGAGAAGGAAAGTTGACGTTTTGGGTCGGGAGGAAGAAGGGTCCCAACCTGAAACATCAGCTTTCCTGCTCCTCTGATGCTGCCTAGCCTGCTGTGTTCCTCCAGCTCCACACTGTTATCTCAGACTCCAGCATCGGCAGTTCTTACTATCTCTAAGAAAATATTTGACCCTGACACTATTATCTGTGATGATCTTTGACATCGGTACATTATTTGGGGAGAACAAGCAACCTACTACTTTCTTAGGCAACATTCCCTTCATTCATCAGGAGAAATACAAGGTTTCCAATTATTAACTACTTCTCATGCACTAGTTGAGACTAAGAACTGATCTCTTGGAAATTTCTTAGTAGGTATTTCTATCACATTACTCTTTGCTACACTACCTTGGTTCCTCATAGTCACAATATATAAATGTTATGGGACAGGACAGTCACTGCTCTTCCAGCCAATGGCTGATGGTTGAGCTGGGGATGGAGAGTGGAAAGTTGATCCACGCCTCTGCTAACTGCCATGGAGCAATGTTAATGGGCTTGAGGTGAGACATCAGAAGGAAGACCTGCTCTAGACAGCTGCTGCCAATGCCGAGTAGCTCTACAGTCCTAACAGCACCAGGGTTGGGCATTGGCCAATGCTAGGACTACAGGCAGTCACAAAAAAGTGGAGCCTAAAGGGACAGGGGGCTGGGTTAGAGAGGCTGGGCAAGTTGGGAGGTAGTGGTGGATAGGAGAGGGGTGTTAAATTGAATGGTATGATCTTGACGGGAGTTGCCTCAATGGGTATACACATCCAGAGAACACTCTTGACCGGTGTCAACCTGCAACTAAAGTTGTCAGGATACAAAAATAAAGTGCTGGAAAAGCTCAGTAGGTCTGGCAGTATTTGCGTGTATCCGAGCGGTTCTTTTCAATTCAGGTAAATATAACTAAGAGAAGGCTCAACAACAGCAATTTCCTTAAATATGAATGATAATGAGTAGTAATAAATAAGTATAGTGGTCATAACAAATGGAAGAGAAAAGGGGAAAAAAAAAACCAAGTCTCACACCCTTCTGGAAAAAGCAACAAGTCTCACGCCCTCCTGCCTATCAGATAGTCTCAAATCGATGGCTGGTCTGCAGGACTAAGTTCATTCCTGGCACCGTTCGCAATTCCAAACTGAGGCGAAGTCCGGCGGCCTGGAAAGAAACTCTCTCTCTCCCATACAGTGTGACAAACAGCCGGCACAAAGAAAGCAGACACAGAAGACAAAACACAGCTACAGAAAAACAAGTTGCAGGTGCTGTCTTCGGCCCGTGATGGAAAGTTAACAAGACTCATCCAAGGTCATGCAGCTTGTTGAGTATCATCAACAATTTTAGCCATACAGCACATCCAATACAATCTATCTTCTCATGCACCTGTCGAATATCATCGTTTGCTTTTAGCCCTTCATCCCATCCTATACACGGGGAGCGGGTAAGGAGTAATCGATAGGTGGAGATAGAGCCCAAAGAAGAGAGAAAAACAGTTGGACAGACAAAGGAGTGGATCACCATCTGCCTAGGAGGGTGAATAGCTGTTAATGGAGGCTGTTAGGGTTGTGTGTCAAATGTGATCACAGGGCTTGATATGTGGGGGTGAGGGCTCGTACATAGGGGAGGTCAAGGCCTAAAGTTATTGAACTCGATATTGAGTCCAGAAGGTTTCAGCATCCCCAAGTGGTTTACCTTATTCCACCCATATACTTGCAAGTCCTCAAAATTCTAGGACTCTAAAACAGGTAAAGAGAGATTATGGGTGTTAGCAAAAAGTACTGATAGCAGCTAAACATTGAAACCAAACAGTAATTATTCAGACATACTTCATTACAAACTAACATAAACCAACATTTTCCTAGCTGCCATCAGTTCTGAGGAAGGGTCACTGGATCTGAAACGTTAACTCTGATTTCTCTTCACAGTGGCTGCCAGGCCTGCTGACCTTTTCCAGCAATTTCTGTTTTTGTTTTTGATTTACAACATCTGCAGTTCTTCCGGTTTTCTTTTGTCAGGATACCTGTTGGCGGAGGCCATCCCTGTTTCAGAAAGACTAGCAGTTCACAGCAGATGACCCTGAAGTAGGCATTTAGTAGCCACATAGGGACCTAAAAAGGCCAAGGATGAGCAAATGCCTTGAAGACCCCATAAAATTTGAGTTAAGTATGAGACAGTCGGCAGGTCACACATTTCAATTTAGGAATTCCATCCCTTTCAAACTCAATAGAGGTTAAAATCTTGTCCCATGTAACAAAAAGTGCATTTCCAAATAAATTCACAAATCCTCAATGGCGTCTCACAAATTGACATTCAATAACATCAAAAACATTAGCATGTTTACATGTTGCTTAATTATTGTTTAAGTGAAATTCACCTGTCTTGCAGCATGCAGTTTCCACAGTTCATGGACTGATCTAAAAGAACACAAAAAGACACAATTAATTCCCTTTTCTTGTGAATTACAAGGTTTGAATTAATTGCATTCATAGTAAGTCTGGAATGCTCTAATATTACCAATAACAGTTTAAAAATATCAGCAAATGTAATTATAAATAATTGGAATATTCAAAGTCGAAATGTCCTTTTGATAATTTTGACTTTTACAATTAACAGCTACAAATCACACCAAACCACACCAAAACGGATTGTTTTAATTTAGTATGACAGAGGGGCTGATCATTTAATAGCAGGCATTCCCTATGTTATCAGGCACAGAAGTACTGGACTTGTACAATCCAGAGCAGTTTTAGAGAGTGCAGGCAGTTTCTGGAAAAAAATTATCATCATACTCAAAGACAAATTCATGAACAAATTCACACAGAATGCAAAATCAAAAAAAAGGACTGAAGAAAGCTGCTCAAAGCCTTACTTTACTCCATCCAAATACTTGAGGGTCTCTGAAATTCTAGGACTCTAAAACAGGTAAAGAGAGGTTATAGATATTAAGAAAAAGTACCGATGGCAACTAAACATTGAAACCAAACAGTAATTATTCAAATATACTTCATTACAAACTAACAATTGTTTGAATCCAGTCTGAATGTTATTCCAATGAACAGGGTTCCTAAACGGCCCTAGGAACCAAACAGGAATGTGGTAGGATGTTCAGTTTCCACAAATAATGTACCAATGTCAAAGATTGACACCATTATCTGTGACAATCTCCAGGAATTTCTTTTCTTTTCCTTGGGTACTAGTTATGTAGTGTGGGGCAAGTAGAGTCTCTGGTGGCTGGTGATTTCAGGAAGGTAAGGATTACTCAAGTTGATGTGACTGCGGCAGAACTGGTTTGGAAGATATTTGTATGCTGGATACTGCAATCTGTTCCAACCCAGACTATTGCAATGACAATAGAAAATAGGAGTGTAAATAGAAATAGGAGTGGAGATAGAGGAGTATGGAGTGATCAAACTTCAATAATTCCACAGTGACTTTTAAGCTAAGTGTGCATGATGGGGACAGAGGGAGGATAACCATTGAATAATTTATTGAAACTTTAGGAGATCTACCTTACTGATAGCAATTCCAAACTGGTACATGACACTGTTGACAATAGCCCCACCAGCTGGTGATTCCTATTATAACTCTAAAGCAGCACAGTGAGCAGACTGTATGTGCTAAAATTTTAATTTTTATTACAAGTTATGTTATTAATTATTAATAGTTAATCAGAACATTCTTCTCCATTCACTTATCCATAGAGATAATAAGATCCCTTATTTCACCAACTTATTATTCTCAAAATACTGCAAGGTCTAGCTTCCCATACTCCCTAACTAAACCTATTCCAGGTGTTGATCTTGTGATTTCCTTTCATTATCTTTAACCTAAGTTCCTCCATGTTACTATCAGAATTTAAAGTCATATTATGGGGATTTACTTTTTTCAAATCCCATAACTCTCTCTTTAGAGGAGCACTTCTCAAGTGATTCTTTTGAAAGCTAAAAGAAAGTTTAATCTCTTCATTCCTCCCTCATAAGTCAGCCCTTTGACACTAGAGATCAGCTAATAGACTGTCTCCAAATAGCTCATTTGATGGTCTAAGTGGACCCAATATACAAACAATGTTCTGCTCAAGACATTATATCTGCACTGCCTATAAGGGCAGTATGAGCAGGAACCTCACAACCTTTAAAAAACTATGTGGATAAGCACTTGGAAGTTTCATGACATTCAAGGCTATAGGCTAAGTGCTGGAAAACAGGCTTAGTGTAGACAGTTTGGCAGCCGAAGGGCCTCTTCTGGGTCCCTATGACATTCTCAAACTTAGATTAGACTGGCCCCACTGTGGTGTTCAATGTTAAAATAGACATGAGTTCAGTAGAAAGGTTTACAGAAGAGTTAAGAAAATCATCATATGAACGGCAATAGAAATTATTTGTACCTCTGCCTCAATGGTTCAAAACACAAGTTGGACAGCTTTGCTGTTTACATTAGGAAAGAGTGCTGTTTTTGTAATTAATCATTTTGCTCATGTTTATTGGACTGAATTTTAAAATTTTTGTCCTGCGGCTCCACTTATTTGATAGATGAGTTGACCGAAATCCCAAATTTACTTCTTCAATATAGTGACCCTGACATACGACCTTTCGCGATCTGGCAGTCTCTGGTCCAGCAAAGGCCCAAATCCAAGGCTGCCATGTTAGGGAGGTACAACGTGTATTTGCAATGAATAATTTCATATCCTATTTTTTTTAAAATGTATCCCATTTTAAAAATTTTTCCGCAAGATTCTCATTAAATTGGATCATTCCTTTTTAATAATTAGCAAGTTTGGGTGATGTTTTACTTACAAATGGCTTCAGAAGAAAGTACAGGATCTTCTTTAGTATTTTAGATGTTGTGTTTACAAAGAGCAGATCTTTCAAAGTTGGATCGATGATGTCTCCTTTTCTAAAAAAAATACAAGTAACATAAGAGCTAGTCAAATTGACTCATTTTCTTATGAACACATCAAAGCGTATCATAAGATTGTTGGGGGAGTATCAGTGGAACACATCTTTATACCCTGTTCTGAGGAAGGGGCACTGGATCCAAAACGTTAACTATGTTCTTACCTTCACATATGCTGCCAGACCTGCTGGGCTTTTCCAGCAACTTCTGTTTTTGTTACATCTTTATACCCATCCATGTTATATCCTGCACCATTTGTCAAATTCCCGTACACACACAAATCATGCCTTTCTTATACATATCTGCCAACTTAGAAAGCAACTAAAGACTTAACTTTCAGATTAAAAAACACTGATTAAAAGTAATATCACCAAGTAACAAACATTGCGGTTTCTCAAGTCTCCCATCCTAACAGATCATTCTTCCCTGATAAAATCCTAAATGAGTTGCTGCTGTAGTTTACTCTTGCTTTTATAAGCATTTTGCTAAGAAGTGTACAAAAGCAATTCAAACAATATTCTAAAATAACCTTAAAGTCTTGCTTCTGGATTCTATGCGTCTAGATCCACCAATCATAGAATCCATAAGTGCGAAAACAGGCCATTTCGGCCCAATAAGTCCACACTGCTCCTCCGAACAGCATCCCACCCAGACCCATCCCCCACACTTTCCCTGTAACCCTGCATTTCCCATGTCTAATCCATCTAACTTACACATCCCTGGACACTACAGGCAACCCACCTAACTTGCACATCTTTGGGCTGTGGGAAGAAAGCAGAGCACCTGGCAGAAACCCACACAGACAGTTGCCCAAGGATGGAATCAAACCCAGGTCCCTAGCACTGTGAGGCAGCAGTGCTAACCACTGAGCCACCGTGCTCAGTGCTAACCACTGAGCCAACTAGCTAGTTAATTTATCTAGATGCCCATCATACCTGCTCTATATCCTCTTTGTCAAATTTGCCATATTTCCCAATCTCAGTTATGGTGCCATCAACAAAGTACAACATTGTTCCTACAAACCCTACGACAGGATCATTAATGTATTCATAAATAAGACTAGTTCTAATACCAGGCTCTGTGCAGTATCTCTCACTATATCTTCCCTGTTAACAAAAAAGCTTTGTCCATACAATTTGCTTCCTGTCCTCCAAGCTTTATCTCTTACACATAGTCATAATCCCTTTATTCCTTTTTCCATTATTTTTACTGTAAGCCTATTATGAAATGAAGCCTCTTAGCTCATAAATGCACTTCAAAATTTAATAGAAAATAATAATTCACAACATTTCCCACAGCTAATAAATTTTATTAAACATATACATACAGTTCTGGTCACCACACTACCAGAAGCATATGGATGCTTTGGACAGGGTACAGAAAAGGATTACCGAGATGTTGCCTGGTGTGGGGATTTTAGCTATGACAAAAGATTGGCGAGATTGGGTTTGTTTTTACTGAAACAGAGGAGGTTGAAGGGTGACCTGATAGGAGTTTATAAGATTGTGAATGGCATGAATAGAGTGGAAAGTATGAGGCTTTTACCCAGGGTGGAGGGGTCAATCACTCGGGGATACGGGTTCAATGTGCAGGGGGAGGTGGTTGGGTGTAGTTTAAAAGAAATGCATGAGGCAAGTTTTTCCACACAAACCGTGGTGAGTGCCTGGGATGTGCTGCCAGACCAGGTGGCAGAAACAGACACAATAGAAGCATTCAAGAAACACCTCGACAAATACATGAATAGGAAGGGAATAGAGGGTTACGGATCCTGTAAGTGAAGACGGTTTCAGTATGGAAGGGCACAATGTGTCAGCACAGGCTTGGAGGGCTGAAGGGCCTGTTCCTGTGCCATATTGTTCTTTTTTCTTTATTTCACAAAGAGTTCTACATTGTGGAATTCAATTTTGTCTGATCATGCAATTGCAAAATAATGCAGATTCTGGGAATCTGAAATGAAAACCAAACATTATGGAAATGTTCAGTAGGTTAGGCAGCATCTGTAGTGAAAACACAGAGTTAAATTTTTCAGGACAATGATACTCCTTCATCAGAACAGACAAAAGGCAGAAATGTAATACGTTTGGAACAAGAGAAAGGAAGGCCGAGTGGAGTTACAGAGAAGAAAAGAGACAGATCATGATAGGGCAGAGGGCAGAAGACAGTAAATGCTAAGAAGAGTTTTATGGTAATGGGTAAAAGTAAATAAACAGAAGACAAGTCCAAATTAGAAGCAAAGGGCTTGATAGCAGATATCTGAGTTTACAACAAAGAAACAAAAGAAAAAGGAACCAGAAAAAAAAACAAAATTGAACGGAGGAAGCAGTTATGATCTAAAATTGCTGAACTCACTGCTAAATCCTTAACACTGTAAAGCCAAATTGAAACATTAGGCGGTCTACCTAGAGCTTGAATGTGCTTCATGTAGAAGGCCAAAGACAGAGAGGAAAAAGTTGGAAAATTCACAATTAACTTGTGTTTCTCTGGGTTGAATGTTATATTAATGTGTTCTGACAAATTGTCAGCTACAGAATTAAAGCTAACATCTATACTTTCCTAGCCTATTTTCTTTATTGAAGAGAAGTTTCACATTTGCTATCCATTAGGACATCCTTTAAACCATGTTGAGTTTTTCTTTATAAAGAGTCAGAACCATTGACCACATTCCTCACATTTGACTTCATCAGAACCTTGATCCCTGCAACTCTGTAACCTTTAAATTTTCACTCATCCTGACTAATGTTATTTCATAAACAAAGTACCAACTAAGGTTGGGGGACGGTCAGTTGTGTGCTACAAATTCATAATTGCCAGGAGAAACAGACTGCAGCAAATAGCTCCCAAGGTAATTGGTAATATCTAAACCTTAAAAAAGAACCCTGACAAAGATCAATGTTTAAAATTTCACTGAAAATAAATTTCATAGACTTTTCACTAAAATGAGACTTACAATCTTTCCTTAAGTGTACAGCCATCATCAGAACTAATGCCTCTTATAACAAGTTCATTCAATGCAGTTTGAGTTCTCAGAGGTTTGAAGGGAACCAGCTGAAAAGAAAGAAGAGAGAATAGTTAGGATACAACAACAATAAAAGATAAAAATTTAATCTGCTAGTAAGAGGCCAAAGTGGTAGTATAGTGGTAATGTCACTGGATCATTAATCTGGAGGCTCAGGCTAATCTTGTGGGCTCAGGAGTAAATTAAGGGATGGTTGGTCAGTTCAGTCAAGCAGGACATATATATCTTGTGGTATTTATGAAGTCACAGACACAACGGGCCTCCCAGAAGAACATCTGCAGAAAGTGTCATTAGTCACACAAGCTTGAGCTCCAGGTGTCGGAACCTGCATCTATGAGGCAGAGGACAATATGGATAGCATGTTTAATGAGGTGGTCACCTCACAGGTTAGAAATGTTCAGGCAGCAGGCAGCATTAATCAGTGTAGGACCAGGCAGACAATGTAAAAGTCCCGTGCATGTGTCATGCTTCAGAATTGGTTCCATTAAAGACACAGAGAGTAACAGTTCCTCAGAAGAGTGCAGCCAGAGCCAAATCAGTGGTGCCTTGGGTAGTTCAGCTGTACAGGGTTGGCAAAGTGGGAAGCAATGAAGGAGAATAGAAAACCAATAACAATAAAGGATTCCCCAGTCAAAGGAACAGACAGGCATTTCTGCAGCTGTCAACATGGCTCCAGGATGCTATGTTGTCTCCCTGGTGCCAGGATAGCAGATGTTATGAAGTGGCTGTAGGGTACTCTTTATGGGAGGGTCATGGTCCACATTGTTACCAATACTTAGGTAGAAATCGGAGTGAGGTTCTGAAAGCAGATTTCAGGTGCTCGTTGGGATATTGAAAGGTAGGACCTCTAAAGTACTGGTCTCAGGAACATTCCCAGTCCCACATGCTCGTAAGCGTAGAAATAGGTGAATTGACCTAATGCATATGTGGTTGGAAAGCTTGTGCAGGAGGGTAGTTATCATGTTTCTAGGGAACTAGGATTGGTTCTGGGGAAGGTGAGTCCTGCACAAGCTGGACAGTCTACATCTGACTAGGACTAAGATTAACATCTTTACAGAAAGATTTGCTAGTGTTATTGGTGAGGGGCCTAGGTTGGCAGGGGATGGAAACCCATGGGCAAATTCAGAGCAGGGAACAGGAGACAGAAACTTAAAAGTAACTCTGAAAGACAGAGGAAGCACAGACCAAAAAATCGGCAGTTTTTAAAAGGTATATTAATTAACTCAAGAAGTATCGTGAATAAAGCCAAGGACACAGACATACAGCACATGATATCAATGCTTATTACAGAAATTTTGCTTAAATAGGAACAAAGATGGCAGCTCTGGTCATAGAGTTTTCATGATAGGGAAGGAGGGAAGAACAAGTGGGGAGGTAGCACTATTGGTTAAGTAATGAATCATAGAGGAGAGGAGGGATGATATACTAAATGAATTATGCAATGAGGCCATATCGGTTGACTCAGAAACAAAAAAAAGAGCAGTCACACTGCTGCTCATGTACTACAGACACCCAAAGAGTGGGAGAGAGTTAGAGGAGCAAATACGTAGGCTAACTCCTGAATGTACAAACGATAGGGCATAATAGTGGAGGACTTCAACTATCCAAATATCAACTGGGATATAAAGAACAGGAGGCACAAAATTTTTGAACTGCATTAAAGAGAGTTCTTTTAGCCATAACAAGCCTAATGACAGAAAGTGTAATTATAAATTTAATCTTAGGAAATTAAGTTGGGCATGTGGATGTAGTAGCAATGGGTGTCCATTTTGAAGATTGTGATCATAATACAGTAAGATCTGGCATCATTATGTGAAGTGACAAAGATAGAAAGAGAGTAAAAGTTCTAAATTGAGGGAAAGCAAATTTTACAAAACTGAGAGATGATCTGGCAAAAGTGGTCAGGTTAAACCAAAGTCAATGGCAACCTAGTGGGAGTCATTCAAAAGCAAGTTTATGGGCACAGTGTAGACATGTGGTACTGCCAAAACTACAGCCACTTGGTTATCAAGAAGAGAACAGGGAAAGATAAAGTAGAAAATTGGAGCTTATGACGATCTCAAAACTTTAGGAAGCAACAGTTTAGCAACCTTAGAGTACAGGGGTGAAATGAAAAAGTAAAATTAGGAAAGCAAAAAGGAAGATACTAAAAAAAAATGCTGGCCAATTCAAAGAAAATCCGAAGATATCTTATTAGATATTAACATTAAAAGCAAGAGGAGGACTAAGGAAAGGACTGTGGCAATTGGAGATGCACATAGTAACTTATGCATGAGTACAGAAAATATGGACAGGGTCCTGAATGAGTATTTTGATTCCATCTTCAGAAGGGACAGGAATAATGCGGGCATTTTAAAGAGGAGCGTGAAACATTAGACGTAATCTCTTAATAACAAGAAGGAAATTACTAGAGAAACTGGCTTCCCTGAGGTGGCAAGATCATTAGAGCCAGATGAATTATATCTTAGGGTGTTCAAGGAAGCCAGGGGAGAAACAGCAGAAGCTCCAAAGAATTATTTTCCAACCCTGAATAGATAGTTGGAGGCAAGGTGCCGAAGGACTGAAGATCTGGAAATATTGTATCATTGTTCAAAAAGGATGGGAGGCATATATCAAATAATTATTGGCAGATCAATGTGATCTGGTGGGCAAATTACTGGAATCAGTTTGCAGAGGCACAGATTAATCAGCATAGTTTTGTTAAGCAAGGAAAATGTCCAAAATTGGTTCTATGGCAGGAATAAAAGGGATAATGGTCCACAGATTTTTTTGTGAATGAAAAGCAGCTACAAATGATGTTCCACGGAGCTAGGTTTTGGGTCCCTTGCTGTCAGTGGTAATTGTTAATGATTTAGACTTAATCATGGGAGGCATGATTGGGAAATTTGCAATGTCATCAAAGTTGGCCAGGTAGTTGATAGTGAATAAGATCACTATCTACTGCAGGATGATACCAATGTTTGGTTGGCAGGGCAGGTAGATAAGGTGGGAAAGATGACCTATGGAGAAGTCACTTATCAGAAGGCATAAATTTAAGATGGTTTGTAGAAGGATTAGAGGGGACAGAAGGAAAAAGCTTTTCACCCACAGACACAATTCTCTGCTCATTTTAAAAAACTGATGCAGCCCGATGATATTAATGCACAAATGCACGTAAATCCTGTTTGCAGTGTCTGTAGCCTGATCAATAAAATCATGGCTGATTCTCCAATAATTTTGCTGTTGTATTTTCCTATGAGGGAAACTAGTGAAGAAGAGCAGAAATTAGTTCATAAAAATCAATTTAAAAACTTAATGGGATCCTTCAGGGTTGCAACAGAATTTGGTGGATGAAGTTGAGAAGGGTGATACAATGTTGGATCACCTACATTGTAGAAAAACTCAATTCCTTTGAAAGGACCCTCGATCTGCAACTGAAGCACTGGAACCTGCAAGGCTGCAGACCAAGTGCTGCTAAGTGGGATTAGAATGGGTAGCTAATTTATTCAGCTGTAACAGACATGATAGGCTGAATCGCTCTATGCTATATCTTTTCTACAGCTTTAAGTAATCACCATTCCTTTCATCAACAAAAAAGCTGTGAATTATGTTATTCAGAATTCTTGAAATGAGTCCCATTTACAGACAAACTTTATGTTTTTTGTTAAAAAAAATCAATTCTACAAACATTAATACATTAAGAACAAACTGAAGTAATATTTATTGCAAGTTCTAGTTTTGACGCAGCGTGGTATGGAACGAGGATTCTTTAATGGGTTACCATACTCCTTCCAGGCAAAAGCAGACTCTGCTCTCCACTCCCTCTCCTGCTTCAACTGAGGTGTGGGTGGAAAATCACATGAGCCTGCACATGCCGTGCAAGAATACGGGCACAACACAAACATCATATCCAAAGAAAAATCTACACAATTGGTCATAAATAATTAACAGTTGGAAAATATTTCCAAATAAAGACCAAAGACCAATCACTAGACCTAATTAAACACAGTTTTTACAAATCATTTCTTAGAGCTGTTGTGGCAGAATGGCATTGTCCCTACTTCCGAGCCAGAAGGCCTGGGTTCAAATCCCACCTGCTCCAGAGGTGTGTAATAACATCTCTGAACAGGCTGATTAGAAAGCACCTACAAACCATTCTTTCCTCTCAAATTCACACTGGTCAGATTTATTGATCCTACATTGCATCACCCTTCTCAACTTCATTGGGATGGCATGGTGGCTCAGTGGTTAGCACTGCTGCCTCACAGCACCAGGGACCCAGGTTCAATTCCACCCTCAGGTGACTGTCTGTGTGGAGTTTGCACATTCTCCCTGTGTCTGCGTGGGTTTCCTCCCACAGTCCAGAGATGTGCAGACTAAGTGGATTGGCCATGCTAAATTACCCATAATATTCAGGGATGTGTGGATTATAGGGAGAATGGGTCTGGGTGGGATGCTCTGAAGGGCAGTGTGGACTTGTTGGGCCAAAGGGCCTGTTTCCACACTGTGGGGACTCTATGATCTAAATTAGCCATGATTTTATTGATCAGGCTACAGACACTGCAATCAGAATTTACATGCATTTGTGCATTAAAATCATCAGGCTGCATACAGTGGTTGCGAAGCAACCTGCCCCATAAGTAATCTTTTTGGAAGTTTACTTAGGTAGTATTTGTAGCAGTTTTCCCTAACCTCATGTGGCCACATTTCCACATGCAAGCTGGGTGACACTTTTCATCGATATTACTTCTTCACGCAAAGTATTATTAAATGGATTCCTTCACTGAAATATTCAGTAGCTATGTTATTGAAAACTGTTACAAAGATTTGGCTGAAATAAAGGAAGACTTACGCCTTTGGCGAGCTGAAACAAACTGTTTTTGCTGAACGTTCCTTATCCTTTCAGGCACAGCTTCTTACTAAGGTATGCTTCTATGGGTACTGGTAACCTCCTAGTTTCAATTTTTCATACTGTTTTTGACAGCAAGTGTCAGAAAACATTTGATTTAAGCATAACGTTATTATTTAACACCAAATGCAAAATTACAAG